TCTCTATTTGCATTGGGGTCATTTCCATATGGAACTTCCGTGATTATTTTCCCAGAAGTCTGAGCTCGTCCAAGGTCCACAATGATATCTTTGTATTACACACACACACATACACATACAATTTTGTATGCATGCATGACTTTATGATGCTTTATACCGCAGATCAACAGGAAGTGTTGAAGAGATCCAAGCACGTCGTTGAGCTCACTGACGGTCGTCTGGAGCTCAGTGTCAGGGGCGACCTGCCACCTCCCAGCTCGTCATATGACACCACCGCTGAAGAGGTCAGCACATTTCCTTCTGGGTTTCCTGTTCCACAAAACAACCATGCAACAGGCCCTTCAGGGATGTTTCATAATCAACTAAATCTGATCCATAACTCAATTCTTTATGTTTTTCCTTCAGGACGTGTTGAAAAATAACCAGCACAGCAGTTTTGAAAAATACATTTGGTTAGATTGATGTTTGATAAGCATTGAATAAGTGGTATTTTGCATTAGTAAATCTGTCTTTCTGTCTGTCTGAAGCCTGGGTGAAGGTCTTGTGTTAGGAGTTTGCTGTATTTTAGTTGTATGGAAGAAGAATGACAAATAAAACTGTTAATGCTCACAGAAAGGACTTCCAGGATGCTAAAATTATTCCAGTTTAAATATAACTAGAAAATCTAGTTACTTTGTAAATTCTGTTATTGTTATGCTTTCAACAGAGCCAGCAGACCATTCCTGACCCAACTGATGCAGCGGGTGAAGCTAGTGACCATCAGTGTGATGGTCCAGTCCATTCTGAAGCATGTGATAGGCATCTTCTGGGACAAAGTGCTGCTCACCCTACAGAACACAAAGATTCACTTGGAAGGGAGTTTGAGTCTGCTGGACAAAATAGTCACAGCTGGAGCTCCCAAAGGCCTTGTCCAGATTGAGATTGTTCAGGGGACCATTGAAAGCCAGAAGGTGAGAATTCCTCAATTTTAAGTTTATTTTCTCTAAAGTGGATTTATTATTGCACTGTTAATATGCTGTTATTTTGCCTGTCAACATAAGCAAGTTGATAACCTTTGGTCTTGAACTGTTTTTAGACAGATGCAGTGGTATCTCCAATGGTCTTCAACAATCCTCTGTCTACTTATGTTGGAAACATTCTCAGTAAAGCAATTGGTCCACAAGTGACTCAAAGTGTTTAAACGAAAGTCAAAAGGTGAAATGGGGCCTGGTGACTTCATACTAGAGGAAGATTTGACTGGACCTCCTTTTGGTGCCGTGTTCTTCCTCAACCTGGTTCGGTGGGATGCAGAAGACAATGGAACCGCAGTTCAGGTGAGATAGCTGAGCATTTTTACCACAATTAGTTTGTCCGGATCGTTTAAAATAATGTTCAGCTTGTTTCTAATACAAATTTCTACAGGTTTCCGATTTGGCATCAACCAAATTCTGACTTCCTGTGAGAGCAAAGGGTTTGGATCTGTAGCCCTACCTGCACTAGGGACTGGCATTGCTCTAGATTTTCCAGTCACTCTGGTAGCCAGGGTTTTACTGGAGGAGATCTCAAAATTTGAACAGGAAAGAACGACCAGCGCACCAGTTCAAGTTCTCCTTGTTCTACCAGACCAAGAGGATGTAGAGGTAAAGTACAATAAACATGTTTTTCCCTTAAATGATTCACAACAAAGGGGTTTATTTTTTTCATTTGCCGATCATATCGAGGACAATACTCACCTTCTTGTCTGATCGCACAATTGCTTTGGAGTAAGATCGGTCAAACATTCCTTTAGACACGTCTAACCATCAGAGACAGTCTCTCTGAAAGAACTGAGGTGGTTATTGCTGAAAAAAGGTGGTACAAATTATTTTGCAGCCTTTGAAATAAATGTGGACGTCATTATATTTAGGTGTGTGTAAATGAAAATGGCTTTAATGTCTGTATTGCACAGAGGATTTCCTGTAATTTGTTAATGAAACTAAATTTGAATATCTTTTCTCTACAGATCTTCAAGTGTGTACAAGAAGGTATGAAGTACAACAGATCTACTGAAAATGATCATGGTGGGTAGACAATATGGGGATAGTAAGATTTAAACAAAATTGGTAACACTTTATTTGAAAAGGTGTGCATAACATGACACTGTCATAAACTGTGCAAAGTTGACTCTTTCAATACAGCTTTTTATGTAAATTTGCATTAAAAGTGTCATTATTTACCAAAAGACACTTCATGACAACAGTCAAAAACATTCATGAAGACCACCTTCATGTTCACAACAGGTGTTATGTCATGTTTATGGAGTCTTATGCACATCCCTTCAAATAAATTACCATAAAATCTGTTTTTAGTCAGATTGAAGATTATCAAATAAACATTAGAAAGCAAGAAAAAAAACAGACAGTTTTAAAAATGGTCCAAATTTATATTGTGTATTAATATCCCCAATCTCAACATTTCTCCAGACTCCAGTCCAACAAGGATGGTTCTGCTGGGGAAAACTGGAGCTGGGAAAAGCCACCTGGCTAACACCATTCTGGGGAGGAAGTTTTTACTTCTTACCATTCTCCGAATGCAGGAACAGGAAGATGTGAATCAGAGACCAGAACAGTTAATGGGAGGCGCCTCACTTTGATCGACACGCCTGGTTTCTTCGACACCGACAAATCGGAAGAGGATTGAAGCCGGAGATAATGCGTTGCCTCACGGAGTGCGCACCTGGACCGCACGTCTTTCTCATTTTACTTAGAGTTGACAGATTCACAAAGCAAGAGCAGCAGGTTATCACTAAGATATGCGATCTTTTCTCAGAGGATGCTCTGAAATACGCTGTGATCGTGTTCACTCACGGCGAGCAGCTCCAAAAAGGGATGAAAAATCGAAGAGTTTTGTCAGTAAGAATAAGAATCTGAGTAATCTGGTGAAGAAGTGCGGAGGTCGGTGCCATGTCTTTGATAATAAACACTGGAGTGGAGACGGGCAAGATGATTACAGGAACAACCAGGTCCAGTTAGAGGCATTCCTTCAAACAGTAGACAAGATGATGGTGGAAAAAAACGGATCCTACTACACCAATGACGTTCTGCAGCATGTAGAAGAAAGGATCCAGAAGCAAGAAAATGAGATTAGAAAGATTGGGGTGTACTTACCCCCACAGGAGTTCAGGGAGAAAGCTAAAACTTTTTGTCTAGAGAATTTCTGATCCAGTTAGTGGGTACTGCCACCGGTGCTTTGTTGGGGGCATTTTTCGGAGTGGAAGAGCTATTGAAAGTTGTAATGAAAGTTGTGCAGACACCCCAGGTGATGTCGCACGTGAAAACCATAAAAACGATGGCACCTGCAGGAGTCGAACGCAAGGCGGTGGTCGTGGCTGGTGGAGTCGTGGCAGGTGTTGCTGTGCTGGCTGCAGCTGCTGCAGGGGGAATTCAAGGTGGTGCTATTGGATGTGAAGCATCTAAGGAAGCGAAAAACTCCGATTGAAGCAATCGAGAAAGTTATGACGCTGTCATGAAGAAAGACATATGTTCAAGATGCCGTCACAAAAATAATATTGTTGTTAGTGTAATCCTAATGATTACACTGTCAGTCTTTTTTTTTCACTTTCCATAAAAGTACAATATTTTGTGTAATCATCCGCAGCATTTTGATGCATCAATGTGCATCAATGTGCAGCTAACAGGTGCATATTGCTGACATAAACACACTGGAATGTCAAAGGAATGTTTTATGTGAGCTTCATAGCATCTTGTGGAACCAGTGCCAATAAGAGATAAGGCTATATTTTTAGAACCAACACTATTTTTGTCAAAAATACTTTACTTGTTTCTATGTAAAAAGTTCTATTTTTAAACTAAACTAGCAAGTTCAAGGGGCCCCTAGTTCTTCTATCGCTTATCTTTTTAAATTCCTGCTTTTGTAAAGACACTTTATTTCGTCATGTAGGTAGTTCATAGTACTACTTGTTTTAGACAGACTTTGCCATTCTGCTGCACATTCACAGTATACATATTGAGCAAAATTTTGTTGCAAGGCTCCCTTAAAAACAACAAAAAAAATTGTTAAAACTAGCTGCTTTGTTCTCTAGCATGGCTTCAGATATGAAGCCATGATAGAATGTGTTAAAATCAACTGAATATTAGTCAGTTTGCTGATATGCACATACAGATATGAAATATTTTACAGCTTCTCTTTTGAAACGATTATTGAAACACTAATATTATTTCTCATCTGTGGAATTTCTCAATTTTGCACTGATTTACAAGAGTTATTTTATTTGTTGGACACAAACCTTAAAATGTGCTGAACAATTTTACAAAATTATTTCCCTTTATATTTAACAGTGTTTTCTTCTGGTTGTTTTTCACTGTTTTAATCTGCCACAATAAAATATGAACCATAAACTGAGGTTTTATTTTGAATCTGTCTGCCTTGGTGTACAGTCTTTTTATACCATAAGAACTGAAGCCAAATTTTTAATCATAAGACAGAAACACCAGAATGTCTACATCCCAGACAGAAACATTATTGAACTCACAAGAACTGTCTTTTTATATTTGAAAATGAATATATATATTCAGAAAATGTGTGTGTGTGTAAATAATACAGTTTAAAAAAATGTTTCATGTTGAATCAATCAATTTATTTGTATGTCACAATCCAGCAACAAGACAATTCAAAGTGATTTGCATCATAAAAAGACTCACATACAGAAAAAATGACAAGTTACAGAACACAATTACAAATCAAAATGATTAAACTCTATAGATCAGTGTTCATTAAAACAATAAGCGGCGTGAGGTTTCCCATAACTGCACTCGTCCAATTAAACAATTCAGCTGAGTTAAGAAAAAAATAATATTATACAAGATGCTTTCCTATTGGTTATCCCTGCCACACACTTAAACATTATTTCCGAGCAGGTGAGAAGCACCAATAGGAAAGCTCTCGCGGCTTCCCGCTTCCGGATGCTCGAAGAAAGCCCGCGCGCGTTGCTCGGTTAGCGACGCACGACGGATTCTTTCGAGATGGCGGAGAACCTCGACTTGGACCAGAGCCAGTTCTGCTGTTCGGTGTGTTTGGAGCTGTTCAGGGAGCCCGTCACCGTCCCCTGCGGTCACAGCTACTGCAGGCGCTGCATTGAAGCCTGCTGGCGGCGCGACGATGAGGCGGAGGGCCCTTACAGCTGCCCGCAATGCAGGGAGGACTTCCGGCCTCGACCTGCACTGAGGAAAAACGTCACTCTGGCTGAGGTGGCATGTTCACAGTTAAACTGTCGTTTTTTTGGAGAATAATGCCGTTTGAAATCCATGCAGCTGAGTTTAGAAATGTACCTCAGTTGATAACAGATTTTTATGAGTAGTTTTTTTTTTTTTTTTACTTTTAAAGTAAAATTCTGAAACTAGTTGTACATTAGTCCATCTACTTGAAATAAGTCTCACCAACAAGGTGAACCTGTTTAGTTTTACATTTTTGCAATTTCCCCACGGCGTGTTTTACCAGACACTGGTTCACTTTGACTAAAGGTCCAGCAGTCAAATTCTAGGTTAACTTGGTCAGAAAGGCCAATTGTTTAAATGCGACTGGAGGGGGCAAGTGAAGCCTGGCAGCCTGCCAGGCTTATAATATACTGGGAGAACCCCTGACATATCACAAGTCTTTGGGGAAGGGTTAATTCTTTGCAATGCAAAATCCATAAAGAAATCCATGTACTGTCGGTTAAAAAGATAGTTATGTCATCTAAAAGCAAACATACTTGACTGCTTTAGAAGGAAATCTGCAAGTTGGTTACTTAAGCCATTCTCAATTTCTTCTTTTTTTTTTTTAATTCGTCCCATCTCTCAACCGACGATCTGATTCAGATCATGGGGAAGCTGAAGGTGACTTGCACCGAGGAAACCCCTCTCTTTGCCGAGTTGACCTGCGCTGGCCCAGATGACGTTGCTTGTGATTTCTGCTGCGAGGCCACAAGACACAAGGCCTCCATGTCCTGTCTGACGTGCCTGGCGTCGTACTGCGGTTTCCACCTGGCGCCTCACCACACAGTTCCCGCGCTGAAGACTCACCATCTGGTGTCCGTCACGGTCCCGCTGAAGGAGAAGCTGTGCAAGAAGCACAACAAGCTGCTGGAGGTGTACTGTCGTTCTGACAAGAGATGCATCTGCTATCTGTGCACAATAGATGAACACCGGGGACACTTCACCGTCCCGGCCTCAGCAGAACGAGCCACAGAGCAGGTAGCAGCAGAAACTCTGCAGAGGGCACAAAGTAGGGAGGTGCAAAGAAGTTAAAAGTCTTAACGAAGGTCAATAGAATAGAATAGAATAGAATAGAATAGCATTTATTGTCATTGAACAGGATTCAACGAAATTTCTATTGCAACTCCCGTGCAAAAAGTCAAAATATACAATAAATAAAAAACAAACACACAATAATAATAATATATACAACTAAAATTAACTAAAGGCACTCAACCACACCAAAGAAGAAGCAGCAGGTCCAATTATGGTAAAGTGCAGATGATGTGACAGTGCAAGTGCAATGGCTGTGTGTGGGGTGGGGGGTATGTGAGGTTATGATATGTGTGGGAGGGGGCGGCAGGGAGTAATGGCTCTGACGGCTGTGGGGAAGAAACTGTTTCTCAGTCTGTTTGTTGTAGTCCGTATATTCCTGTACCGCTTGCCTGATGGCAGCGGCACAAACAGTCTGTGGCCCGGGTGGCTGGAATCCATGGCTATGGATCCAGCTCTCTTCTTGACCCAGCCTATGTAAATAGAGTCCAGGTCCGGGAGGGGGCATCCCACAATGCCTTGTGCTGTTCTCACCACCCGTGTCAGTTGTTTCCTCTCCAGTGCTGCAGCCACCATACCACACAGTCACGTTGAGGCTGAGGACGCTCTCGATCGTCGCCCTGTAAAAGTTCACGAGCAGCCGTGAGGAAAGTCCAGCCCGTCTCAGTTTCCTGAGGAAGAAGAGCCTTTGTTGTGCTTTCTTCACCAGGTGGGAGGTGTTGGTATTCCAGGAGAGGTCAGACGTGATGTGGAGGCCCAGGAACTTGATGTTGTCCACACGCTCCACCTCTTCTCCATCTATGAGAAGGGGAGTGTGACCCGTCCTCCTGGACCTTCTGTAGTCCACAATGACCTCCTTGGTCTTCCCTGTGTTCAGCACCAAGTTATTGGCTGAACACCACTGAGTGAGCTGCTGAATTTCCTCTCTGTAGTGGGTCTCGTTGTTGTCTGAAATGAGACCCATACTGTTGTGTCGTCCGCAAACTTGACGACTGTGTTGGTGGGGTGGATGGCAACGCAGTCGTGTGTGAACAGGGTGAAGAGAGCTGGGCTGAGCACACAGCCCTGCGGTGTGCCTGTGTTGAGGACCAGTGGGGACGATGTTGAGCCACCTATTCTCACCACCTGAGGCCTGTTGGTGAGGAAGTCTCTGATCCAGTGGCACAGTGAAGCAGGCAGCCCCACCTTGAGTAGCTTCAGCACCAGCTTGTCTGGGATGACGGTGTTAAATGCTGAGCTGAAGTCTACAAATAGCATCCTGACGTAAGTGTTGGGATGCTGCAGATGGGTCAGGGCTGTGTGCAGAGTGATGGAGACAGCATCCTCTGTTGACGGTTCGCTCTGTAGGCGAACTGAAGGCTGTCCAGGTCTGCAGGGATGAAGTGTCTGATGTACCTCAGAAGAATCCTCTCAAAGCACTTCATGATCACCGGGGTCAGAGCGACGGGCCGGTAATCGTTCAGGCTGGTGATGGTCGTCTTCTTCGGTACAGGGATGATGGTGGAAGACTTGAGACACTGCAGGGACAGATTGAAAATGTCCAGAAACACTCCTGCCAGCTGGTCGGCGCACGTTTTCAGCGTCTGGCCTGACACCTTGTCCGGTCCTGTAGCTTTGCGGGTGTTGATCCTCCTCAGGGTGGACGTCACCTGGTGCTGCTGCAGGACGAGAGGCTGGTACTGGTCTTCCAGTCGGGGTAGATGTACAGCTTCTCTGCTGCCCACCGTGTCAAAGCGGGCAAAGAAGCTGTTTAAGGTGTCAGGCAGGGTGGGGTCGCGGCTGGTCAGCTGAGTGCTGTGTTTGTAGTCTGTCATGGTCCTGATGCCTCTCCACATGCTTCGGGGGTTGTTGTTGATGAAGTGTTCCTCAATCCGCTGTTTGTACTGGAGCTTGGCCTGCTTAATTCCTTTTTTCAGTTCCGACCGGGCCCTGCTATAAGCCAACCTGTCTCCAGATCTGTAGGCAGCATCCCGGGCTTTCAGCAGGGCCCGTACTGTGCTGTCCAGCCATAGTTTCTGGTTTGGAAACACTTTTATGGTCTTAACCGGGAGGACAGCATCGGTGCAGAACTGAATATAGGACAGAACGGACGATGAGTATTCCTCCAAGTCTGCTCCGTCCCTGAACACACTCCAGTCTGTGTGCTCAAAGCAGTCCTGAAGTGCAGAGGAGGCCTCCTCAGTCCAGACCTGAACTATTCTGGTGGTCGGCTTAGTTCTGCAGGCCAGAGGCTTGTAGACAGGAATCAGCTCCACTGAGATGTGGTCAGACATGCCCAGATGTGGACCTGCTACAGCCTTGTAGGTCCGGGGTATTGCAGTAAACCTGATCCAAAATGTTATTGTCTCTGGTGGGAAAGTTTATGAACTTGTGGAATTTGGGAAACACAGCCTTCAGTTCCACGTGGTTAAAGTCCCCCTCAAAGTTGATTTATTCTTTTTATTTGATGTTTTTAAGATGCTGCTGAATATGAATCAACTCAGTGTCCAGAGGAGTTTGCAGAATAGAGAGCATGAGCTGAAGGAGTTGGGCAAAGCGCTGGAGGATTTCAAGGTAGGGAGGAAAATCAAGACAATTTCAGTTTTATGTAGTAACCGTATCGACCTGCAGTGATGTTTGAGACCTGCCTCCACCAGAAGCGTGACAAATAACGGCATAACTTGTCATAATCTTTATGAAAAAATGTATGTTTGATGAGATTCTTTCTGTTCCCATACGATCTTCAGCAGTGGTATTCTCACTTTTAAGGCGTTTAAGAACAAAAATGCAGATTTGTTTCTAGCTTTTTGGGGGCTTTACGTAAAATTTTATCAGGGTCCCATAAAATTTTGTACTGTACTGCTACAGTGGTTGAGTTTTGACGGTGTCATTGCCACTGCTTAAAAAAAAAAAAGAATGCACTTGATGATTAATTAAGTCAAATCAAGTTGACAAATCAACTAAATATGCCGTGTCGTCCATATCAAAATGTTTGCTCTTTTACATTTAGTAGTAGCGGTTTCTGAGAAAAACAATGCCACTTTTATTTATTTAAAAGAAATGTTAAAAAAAAACACTATTCTTTCATAATGTAAGAAATATTTTAGCCATTCCTAAAGGTTAGATTGCTACAGTGCTAACAGTTTACTTGTTTCCACTTCTGTTTTGACAATTTCTTCTTTTTAATTTTGGGTGAAGATCTCAAAGTCTTTGAGATGAGAAATCCTCGTCATCATTTCCCTCATCTTAATCAGTTTTTTTTACTTCCTGCTCTCAATTCTGAAGTGACTTGCTCAGAAATGTGAAATTGTCAAAAGAAGCGTGGTAAAACTTTCTTTCTAAATTTGTCAACAGTATGAATAATTTTGCGCTCAACCGTATGCATTTGACCTTTTTGTTTTCACTAATTTGCCTTGTGTTTTGAAGGGGTGGAATGAGAGCATATTTTAGGCTTTCCAAGTTGTTGACGCTCATCTATAATTCAAAGAAGAGCGCCGACAACTTCAGTTTCAACAGGCTTGTGGCCGGACTGCAGTGGACAGCGTCGACCAGATCATCAACCCGTTGATTTCCTCCATCGAAATGAGACGCGTCTCGGCAAAACGGATGATCAGCACGAGAGAGAAACTGGCGGTCGCCGAGGCTGAGAAGCTGCAACTCCAGCTACAGGAGGAGATCACCAAGCTGCGGAAACGGAACGGTGACCTTTACAAGCTCTCTCTCTCCAGCGACCACGTTCATTTCATTCAGGTACCTCAAGTTTGAATTGTGTAAAGTGTCGCGTTAAAACATCGGAAGCCCTTAGTAAATTTTCTGCCGATGATTTAACATGTCAGAAATGTGTTTTTAATGCGGCTGCCCAACGCAAAGTAGCGTACGAGCTTGAACTTTTCATCTACATAAAAATCTGCATGGAACAAAATGCATTTATAATCAGATTTTATTTCTGAGTAATTGATTAAAATAATCATTTTTAGAGGAAAACAAGGCATTAAGGTTCAAAGTGTCGGCCAAAGTTCACACTGTTAACTGCAGAAGCTCTAGTAATTCAGAAATTGCACTTGGTAACATCTGATGTCCTGGTTGAGCTTCTTTTGAATGGATCATCTGATCTCCTTCCTCCAGACTTTCCCAACTCTCTCCACTTCCTGTGAATCTCCAGACCTGCCGCCCGGTGCTGTTGTTCGCCCTCGTGAGTCAATGGCAGCTGCATCTCGCTTTTTAGATGACCTGAAGAATAAAGTAGAGGGTATCCTGGAGGACTCCTGGTCCAACTTTTCTGCCACTGGTACTTCACTGTTGCATACAAATTTTGACTTATATGTTGTACTGTTTTCCTTTGGACTGTGTGGGATTGAGCATTTTCTTTCTGTTGGCAGTGTCCGCTGTTAACGTGGTGCTGCCACTTCTGCCAAAAACCAGAGAGCAGTTCTTACTCTGTAAGCAAAGTGTTTAATCCTCCTACTTTCTAATAAGACTTTAAATGAAATGCCTGCTATCTGATGAGGGCTAGTGCTCATTTTTGGGTTTTTGCAGATGGCTGTGACCTCACCCTCGACATCCAAACCGCCCCAGGAGTTTATCCATCTCCCAAGAGCAAAGCACGACGTCAGTGTGTCCCACTACGTCCCCTACTATGTCAGTCGCTCAAACATGTTTGAGAGTGTGAAGCAGGTGCTGTGCTGCGAGGCTCTGTCAGAGCGCTGCTACTGGGAGGTCACCTGGGAAGGTTCCTTTTGCGCAGTAGCTGCGGCATACAAAGACATCAGACGATCATCGTCCGACTCAGAGTTCGGATACAATGACAAGTCATGGAGCTTGGAGTGCTCCAAGAATACCTACGTTTTCCGACACTGTTCTGAGAAGAAAGTCGTGTCGGGTCCTCTGACCTCCTGGGTCGGTGTGTACCTGGATTACAGGGCAGGTACCCTGGCTTTTTACAGCATCTCCAAAGAGATGGTGCTGCTCCACAGAGAGCAGACCATGTTCTGTAAACCTCTCTATCCTGGCCTTGGGCTGAAGGACGATGTTCAAGCAAAACTGAGGAAGTTTTCATGCTGACGCATAGCTGAGCAGCTATTTTCTTTTTGTTTTGTTTTTTGAACGTACAAAACAACTAAAATGATACGTCTGAATAAAGTTCAAGTAACTTAAAAACCAACTACCTCCCTGTTTTTATTTATTGTATTCTTTTACTTGAAATTTGCTAGAAAATCCCATTACATCATGACAACCGACAATGTTTTGAGCATGCTTACTTTTAGCTACTTCAGCAGTTTTTTCACTGAAAATAGGTGTTTCTTTTCCCAAGCAAATCTCAATATGAACACCTCAATATGAACGTCTTCACTGATTTCCTGCAAAGTTTTTTTTGCAACACAAAATGGTCAAGGTAGTTTCAGCAGGCTGCACAATCGAGTGGAAGACTGGACAAATGTCCAGAAGTCAGTCACATGGAGGGTTGGCCATAAAAACCTATCGCTGAAGATGCATATTTATAGAAAGTTGAGTGCAAGTCCAAATTTTGATAAGACAAATTTTGTTGATCGAAGCGTTTTGGTGCAGGAATAAGACGTTTTTTTTTTCCTTGGATCAAAGTTGGTTCAACCTCGCAAAACTGCAATGGAAGTCATATGATCAATTATTGGATGTGGCGCAAACCACAAAGACGACGTCGGGGAGTGGTTGGAGGGAAATAGCCGGACATGTTCTTTAATAACCTATCGAGTGAATTAACTTAACCACGTGTGATTTTGTGTTTACTTGATGGAAACACTACAATTGCGAAATGTTTTTTTTTTTCAACTAAATGTACAAAGGTTGGCGTACATTTACAATGGAAATTCATTCAGTGCATCAAAAACTACCATACTCAGGGGAATCCTACACAAGGACAATCGGTGCGTTAGCTGGGCCGAGGAGAAAAAGAACTGGATCGTTGCTCTGTGGTCCAAAGACCTTTTCTGAAAATGACAGCATAGTTGACGTTTTACTTTAAACTCACTGTCCCAGAATCTTCAAGAGTAGAGAGACACGGGATCAGCATTGATTAATATCCAAAGTGAATTCTTCAGTCGGCAGTGACTTGGTGTTGGTCGACTGTGTTTTCTGAAGTCCAGTTAATGCAGAACATTCTGCTGGGGGGGGTTTATGGAAATTCAGATTTTTATTGTCCAACAGGTCACTGCTAAAAAAATATGAACTACTCAATGACTAAATGACCTGGTGTTATTGTGCTCTAAAGGGCAGCAAACTGGCCTGACCTGATTGTCAAGAGGAAGGTGAGTCAGCCGACCCATTATGCAGATTACCTTATGGTTGCTATGAAAACAACCTGGGTTGTTTTCGGTACGCTGCCATGACACGCCACACGACCGCAGTAATTCATTTAGAAGGAGTACGAAGCAAGAATACAGTGCATATGAAACATCCAGCTTTGTCGATGATGAAGCATTTACATTTTCTGAGAGACTCAATTATGGGTTTTCACTACATGTATGCAATTATTGTTTAAATAACAATACAAAGAGGCTTGGAATATTTCACTTTCTGTAGTTGATCTGTATAATGAGTTTCTTTTTCTGAACTGAGCGATTTTCTTTTAGTATTTCAAAATTCCAAGCTTAGGTTTGTCCCTTTTTATAGTTAGTCCAAATTATTCGCCCACAAATAATATAAGCGGTTCATCAGGACCCCCAACTCTGAGCAAACAAGCATTTTTTACACAAATCTGTGCTCTGTGTGAAATACACATTTCATTTTTTTATTTATTTATTTTTTAGCATTTGGGTTCATTTTAGAAGAATCCAGACTTCTGCATCCATAACCCCAACTTTTAGGAACAACTATTTTTAACTTAAGATAATAATACAACATAGTTTGATGGCGGAAATGACCAAACGTTACTTGACTTCTGGATTAAGGCTTAGAAAACAAAGAAGGAAAAAAAAATGCGGATTGTTGTTTTCAGTTGTTGACGCCAGGGGGCGCCGCTCCGAACTACATAAAAAAAACGCCTCGTCGCGTCTCGAAGAAGTGCAGAACGTTCACGTTTGGCGTCCGGGCGAGAAGCGACGGAAATGGGGGACAACTACCCGTACCCCGTTTATTTCCAGTGCCGGGAGCTTCTAGTGGAAAAGGACAGGAAGAAAACCGAGAGCTACTTCCGCGTCCACAGACGGTCCGGCGGAGGAGACTGCGGTCCGTTGACCACGGCGGCTGACGACGTCTACAGCGTGGCGTTCAAACACCAGAAAGGTGCAGAAAGAGTTTATGTTTATGTTGCTTTAAGATGTCCTTCAAAACACCATAAAAGTATTGAAACTGTTATTGTTACTGTTAGTGTTACTGTTGTTGTTGTTGTTAATAATTGGGATGACACAGCCTGGAGGAACATCAATGTTGACAAATTGAAACGGGAAATTTCTGTGGAAAGTGAAACTTAACTCGAGCTACCAAAAAGCCATGAAGAGCAGCTGGGAAGCTGGCAGAGGGGCGAGGAGCAATGCACTGGAAAACAACAAAAACAAAAAATCATTAAATAACCTGACTTGACTCAAAACTAGAGATTAGAAGCCAGGATCATAATCTCAAGCAAATCTTAAAATATCCCATCTGAATCGTATTTGCATGTTATTTGGTACACTTTTGAAAATGTTCAGTAAAAATGGAGCATAATTTGGCTTAGGTTACCACTAAAGCGGGCTCTATATGACACTGTGATGGTTTGAAATAAATGTACACGGAATCCAGTGTCCTAAAACTCTCTGCGGCTTGAAATATTTGACAACATATATTCCTAGCTCAGTTAGTCCAGCTTCTAAGCTTTTTAATAACTACAAGAAGATAAAGTAAAATCAACTGGTGTGTGGTCAAGTGGTGCACTGTAACAAAGGTGGGGAATCACCGGCAGTATAACTCAATCACAGAAGTGATCTCGGTTTCGCTTTCCAGTCATTAGCCTCAAAGGGAGAGTTCAGGAATTTTTATAGGTGGAGCTCCGGGTGAAGATATTGGGCTGTAAAATCTGCCAGTTAGATGTCAACAACTCCTTGTTTGCATAGACAAATATTAGTTGTTGCCTGTGGAGTCTGGTTACAATCTTAGCTTCCAGATTTTCACATTAAACTCAGTGCTGGTGCCCTGTTCTCGTTGCATGGTTATTTCCATAAAACTATCTTGATTATTTGAACAGATGTTTGAGCTGGTCCAAGATTGACAGTAAAAGCCAAATTCTTATATATTATATTGTGTATATGTGCATATATATATTCATATGCTAGCCCCTGTTATGCTTTGTGCCACAGATCAACAGGAAGTGTTGAAGAGATCTAAGCATGTCGTTGAGCTCACTGAAGGTCGTCTGGAGCTCAGTGTCAGGAGTGACCTGCCACCTCCCAGCTCGTCACATGACGCCACCGCTGCAGAGGTCAGTACATTTCCTTCTGGGTTTCCTGTTCAGGGATGTTTTATTATCTGCTAAATCTGATCCACAACTCAATTCTTCATGTTTTTCCTTCAGATAGTGTTGAAAAGTACCAGCGATTTTGAAAGATACAGGCTGTTCATATGCTATATGAGCCCTTCTTTTGCTCATATTGCATCGTATTTAGCACTGGTACAGTAATATCTGAAGAGTTAAAACTCTTGATCTTTGAGCATGACAGATGGCTAAGCTAAAGCAAGGCAGGTTTATTTCTTTAGTGCCATTCATAAAGAAGTTCTCTTTACAGAAAAACATCTAGGTAAATTGCTCAAAGGAAAAACAAGTAGGCAAAATAATGATTTTAAATTCAAAACAAATACCTAGCTTACACGTGACCATGACAACCTGGAAAAGGTTACATAAAAAAGTGATCTTTGACATTTACTGTAGAAAAATCCTAAACTAATAAACTTTCATCTCTAGTCACACTGATTGCTGTGTCTACAGAGGTTGGTCTAAAATAAATAAATAAATAAAAGACCTGCTGCTGATCCAAAACACTGCTGCTCCTCACAGTCTCACTAAAATCAGGAAGATGGTGTACATCACCCCAGTTCTGATGTATTTAGACGAGCGAATAGACTTTAAAATACTGCTAATTTGTAAATCACTGAAGTTTGTTAGGTTGATTGGTTCTGGTTCTAGGGATGCAGAGTATCACCAGTCAGAACCTAACATGGAAAAACAGCCTTCAGCATCTTTGCATTGATGATTTGACAAAAATGATGTTTTTGTGTTGTTATGATGTAAAGCACTTTGAAATGCCTTGTTGCTGAAATGCACTATACAATCAATCAATCAACTTAATTGATTGATTGTCCATAATTACCCAACTTGTTGAGTAATGCTGTAAAAGCCTGTATTAGAGGTTTGCTGTATTGTTGCTGTCTTCTGCAGTATGTCGATAGAAAAGTGATATATAGAGAAGGCAAAAGGAAGATGTTGACAAAGAAGAAACTTCTCAGATACATAGAATGTTATACCTCTGTTACAGTTTGAAATATAACTACTCTCATTGAAAGCAAAGTCAGAAAATGAGGAACCTGCTAAGATTTTAACATGTTGCCCTGATATATATATTTGTAAACGCTGTTATTGTTGTGCTTTTATCAGAACCAGGAGTCCATTCCTGAGATAACTGCCCCACTGAGTGGTAAAGAAGTTGAAGAACAACCAGAAGAACACAATCCTCTTGCGCTGAAGGACTCGCCTGATGCTGAGGAACTGCTCACCTCTGGTTTTTACCCTAATGAGCATTTCCAAAAGGAGGAAGGGACTTTAGTGAGAAGATTATCTCAAACTGATGCTGTGGGTGAAGTTAGTTACTGGAAAGGAGAGGAAGACCAACAGTGTCATGGTACTCCAGACTACTCTCATAAAGATCTGCATCAGGTTGCAGCACAGCACTACAAAGATGAAGTCAGCAGAGCGAGGACAGCAGTTGTGGAAAGTACTCTGGTGAAATCAGAGATGTAGATACAGAGGGTAAGCCATGTTTAAGTGAGAGTTTGGGAGCTTTGCATGTGGCTGAAAAAACTTCAGTAGCCACTTACAACCTTATTGATGATCTTCAATTGATGGTGTACCAGGGAGACATCACCACGTTTAGGGCTGATGCCCT